ATAAACAAATTTTATGCGGTATTTTTTTATTTTGTCTTTAGGTGAAGCACAAGTGAAATAATTGTTTGAAATATTTATTAAATATTGTTGTAACGAATAAACTATTATACGAGTATGATTTGAAATGAAAATCTAATAAACAACACAAAAACTACAAATAAATTAATAAAAGGGCACTCATTAATACTTAATTTATACTCTGCATATTTTCCTAAACTCTGTCTCTATATAAATCTGTTGTATGTTTTTATTATCTGTGCACCGTTAATGATCGTATAAAATTAACTGTCTGAATACTAATATTATCGCTAGTAATAACATTGTAATTCTTGCAAAAAATTATGTACAAGCCACGTGGGATCCCCGAAGCGCGTCATTCAGACACGCCCCCTGTCGCGACCCACCTGTTAAGACATAATTGTGCGCCCACGCAACCATGGGGGTCTTGCTTCACTGAATATTGTTTTATGAACTAGTCTATGGATTTGGTTATATTTATTTAGCTTTTTATCATCTGACATAGGCTTCACTTACGATTCTAAACCCTGTCTTGCGCTTGAATCCCAGCTGTGTAATCATATATCTTATTCGTCTCTAAGTCTCCAAAATTCAAAACGTACATACGAAAGTCGTTATTCGCGCTAACTGTCGACCCTGCATCATACTCTTACGCCCGAACCCAAAAACCCATCTCAATCCATTATTCACAATCTGAGACAGTAATCTTAATCCAAATGTTGTAAATAGTGTGCCAATAACCAATCGTCGGATTGTAATAGCCATCTGTCGATACAAGCTTTCCATGGGAGGTCGTATCGGTGTCTGTGGTCGTACCTATGTATGAAAATGACAGTTGACGAAAGCTCGATTTCAACAGTTAATTATTTTAACAGATTTTAATTTACACCAGTTTTTTAAATAATTAAAAAACTGGTTGTTATGTTTTAAACATACACATGTATGTTTTAATGTTATTTGTGCGGTTTTATTTACTTTATTTCTTTTACATTGATTATCAAATATGAGTGAAAACTCGGTAAAATGGAACGAGAAAAAGCATTTTATCCGTCGCCATAAATGGATTGTCTTCGTAAGGTTTGGTTATTGGGATGCAGATAGGAGATCGATCGACTGTCACAGTTGAAAACAATCTGAGATTGTGGATTGATTATTGGTTTCGGGCGTTAGAGGATATCTGGGGCCTAAGACGCATCAACAATATTATTATTACAAATGTGTCTAGTTAACAAACACAGCCCGCGGTTACCATCAATCAAAAATCAAACAAAGTTGTTAATAATTAACATAATATAAACACGGCCTCTGTTAACATATGTTCTTGCCTCTAGTACAGATTAATGATGTTAACGAAAGCTATATGTAATTGTATTACAAATGAAAATATTGTGATTTATAACCTGCTCTCCAATCATTACCATTAGGCCCAATAGGACTTACAAACAATATCTATGAATGATTCCCTTATACCAACGTATGAAGACGAAACTTTGAAATAATAGATAACTGAATTTCATTGTATGGAAATCTAGCGCAGCACAAATGAACTGAACGTATACCTCAAAATTATAGTTTCAAGTGTGCAATGAACATGCGGAATCTACTACTACTTGCTAAACTAATTTTATCACTTGATTGAATATTCCTTTAATTTTGATGAGGGTGATCGTCACTTTTTGATTTACTTGCTTTTGTTTCGCTCGGGTAATGCTAGACGTATTTTTATTTTTATTACTCTTTTGCCTATTATATTAATTATTAGTCACGTCTTCAATTTTATATTCTTTGAGTGAGTGTTTAAGCATGTTGTGAACTATTGTAAAGGTAAAGTATTATAAATATATTATTAGTCTAACCTCCCTTATTGCTCCCATACTAATTTTCCCCATATTATTATTCACAATATATGGAAACGAGGTATATACTCAGGTCTTATTATTTTAAGATCCTGTTTCATCGGCCACCGAATCGTTCTTTCTGGTACAATTCCTATACTAAATAAAACTATCGAAACGTATTCTGAGAAATAATAAAAAAATATACATTATTTTCTTTGAATTTAGTTCTGACGAATAACTCAAAGACTTTTTTACATGAAGTCGTAGATAGGAAAATATCTCTTTGATTTATTTCTCACTTGAACAATCATACAATTGTTCATTTGCTCATACAATGTTTAACAGGCCAGTTGGAGCCTCAGGCACTTCCTTGCCATTTGACAAAACCAAAATCAGATGATCCTCCTCACTCCTCTCCTTACGACTGATTTATCGCAAATAAGGGGAAAAGAGTACTTACGCAAGGGTTCTAAATAAATTGGTCGGTGTATTAATGGTTATCAATAAATAGGTGAGCGACGAAACATGGCATTATCATTATCGACTTGCATATTGAATTGTGAGCGTATTGTTTATGACTACGTGTGTGGCGTATGCTTGATGGGATAATAATACAGGAAAACCAAATATGCCCTTAGGAAGTCTTTCATATTACATGTAAAATTCATATATTAAGCAATATAAAAATACTAAGCTTCGTTTTATTATTAATTGACAATAAACTCAATTTCCCTGAAGAGTATAACAATTGAAAAATAAGCACTTGTAATTTAATTAATTTATACACATTATATGTGAAATTTATTAATCTAATGGGAGTTTTCGACGGAGAAAGCGGACTTATTTAATGTTTAACCTTACGTAATTTAAATATATATAAAGGAATATTATTATGGATTTTTTCTAAATGAAAACACAAAATTGTTTCTCTGAAATACAAAGAAACGACATTTAATGTCCACTTATCTATCTTTTTACACTATAATCCACTAAATTAATTTACACGTCATCCGCCATTTTATCGCGTGTCACTCCGACGCGTCAAATTCAAATTAATGAAATATCATTCCATTACATCTCCCCCCCTAAGAGAAAAAATCCATAATAATATTCCTTTATAAAACGACATTTTTGTTAACTAAAAGAAGATGGACCGGCTGCAATTTGAGTTCACGATGATGGCCTCAATCGATGGCAAATCTAATATATTGGCCATAACTTCAATATTGACAGAAGAAGGAAAATGTTATGTTTTACCTGATGAATTGAAGCCGGTGATTCATCATACATATATAGTTAAATTGAACACTTTTTCAAAAATAAAAAATAGTATAAAGAAAAGGCACCAAAGCAGAAAGATATGGGTAAAATTAGATGAAGATCTAAAGAAAACATATATAGATGAGGAAGGTAATATGCAATTTTTAGATCAATATTTAGAGGAAATGATAATTATAATTTAATGATATTTAGGGGGGGAGATGTAATGGAATGATATTTCATTAATTTGAATTTGACGCGTCGGAGTGACACGCGATAAAATGGCGGATGACGTGTAAATTAATTTAGTGGATTATAGTGTAAAAAGATAGATAAGTGGACATTAAATGTCGTTTTATAAAGGAATATTATTATGGATTTTTTCTAAATGAAAACACAAAATTGTTTCTCTGAAATATCATTCCATTACATATATTTAAAAATATCTCCAAAGACACGATCCGAATCCCTCGGCAAGCATCGACCAAGTATTGCTCAACCGAGTCATAGAGGCGGTAACGTATGAGAACCACTAAAACAATTACTAATGATTAAAGTATTATCCAATAATCCGCCTACACACTAATTTTCTTCTCTAAACACCGCACTGCTCTGGATTTAACTAGACAATATTAAGTACTTACTCTAAAATCTTATCATTAATCTTAATTGCGGAATAACAATAAAATATTGCCTATACTTGGTAAAGATGGCATTAGAAATTGGACTTTAAATATAGACGAAATAGATTCAAATTATAGTTGTGAATAGTAATGATCGATTTTGATCATTATTACCGGCTTATAAGAACGGGATCGTGGGAATAATGGAGATAGTTGAGTTATGAGATTCTGATGACTTCAATAACTTCAGTTTGATGCCAATTTTGTTGTTCTGTGATTCTAAAGTCACTTTTGATGATTCTGACTCGAGCTGATACATAGGTACATTTCTCTAGACATAGTAGGAACTATCACTTACACCACATGTAAAGCAGTATACTGCGCCTGAATTGTATCAAAATAAGTTGGTGATCATGATTAGAGCATAAAAATATCAACCAAGTGGCTTGAGCGTGAAAACTCAGGTAGTTCAAAATAAAAATAAAATAAAATATGTTTATTATGGAACATAAGATACATGTATCACTTATTCCACGTCATTAAATTTGAAGGCATCCCTACTCATCGGCAAAGAAGACAGAGGGTGTAGGCCGAGAGAAAAAGCCGGCGTAAAAACTCTCGGTACTCTTTTAAAACAGCAAATCACTACACACATCCTTGCAGTAATGGACATTTCTTTCTGCGCGATTAACACTCGCTCGGTGAGGAACCCGGCAGCCCAAAACCTAAAAATCGACGGCTTGTGTCGACAAACTACTTGCCTACTAAGAAAAAAATCTGAAAAATGAGGACTTTTTTAGTTATAGCAATGTACAGTGCTAAAATGCTGAGTATGAAATTTAGTTGTGGCGAACCACGCGCGGGTTGGTATAGAATTATCTATCCGATTTAGGATACAATTGGTAACTGAAATATTTTATCTAGATAACTTTTTTTATATTATTGCCTTTGCAACGTGTATAAAATATTGAAACAGATGCAAAAATGTGTATCCATTTAGAGGTTGCAGGGTTTTAAGCAATTTTGGATTGATAAATCTGTAGAACATTCAATATACATTGCGTCATATAAAAATATCTTTTCTGACACGAACAATTCAAACCTTGGATAACTAAAGCATTTCAAATAACAGTTAAATCGAAAAGTCAAAGTATTGCTCAACAGTACAGTAACGATTCAATGAAGATCAGATACAACATTGATTGGACACTTTTATCAGATGACATCTGACAATCTGTAGGTACCAGATCACAACATCACAACTGACTCGTCTATAAAGGTATAAATTAATACATATATATGTATTTCTATACTTTAGTCTTTCGTGAATTTTAAATTATTTTGAATCGAAATAAGTAGGGAAAGAATTTGTTTTCATTCACGTTAGTCATTTAATCTTGTAACAATTTAAAATCCACAAAATGATTTAGAAACATTCCAATTTTCTATTAGATTTGGATATCCATCCGGTGTTACGTTCTTATACAAATTGTTAAATGGTCAAATACAAGACATTGATATTGTCGTCCCTTATTCATATTTTTTTATTATACATATATATTTTTTTGTATTTTTATTTTTGTAACATTTACATTTATGTAACATGATTAATATAGAACTTTCAACGAAAAGTAATATTGTACAATAATTATTAGGTTGTGTTTGCAATAGCTAATTTCTGTGCATTATTCTGGCGCTTTCTAACAGTATCTCTGTATAAAAATAATGGTAAAATTAAATACAACTTGTGAGGTATAATTTAGTTTTCGCCGCGTGAAGCATTGATGAGCCTAATGATAGGAAGTCAATGTGTTCAAATTATGATTTATAGTAGTGATATTGATAAATTGATACTTAACTATTATTTATTTCCTGTGCTTATAGCACGTATTGATATTCGCGGCGTGTTTCATCTTTAAATTTCGAAAGGTCACATTGTATTGTCGGGTTTGATTGTTTTAAGAAAGCGTTAACAGTGAAAAATACGAAAGAATATTTATTTTAATTACTAGATTATATCTGATAATAATATGTAATGTGTCATTTAATTTATCAACAGCCAGTATATGTCTTGATAAATTAGCTTTATTACGAAATCGCTATTGTTTGCGTTAGACCCTCGTACTTATAGGACATATATACCTACTATATTACTATCAGACCCGGCCAAGCGTTGCTGTGGCTAAGGTTTTTGTAATATGACATAGTAGTAAACTATTAAAGGGAAAGGGTAGGAGAACACCAGTCATGGGAACCACCATGCTTTTTTGGTGATTATGCTATTAAATTGTAGCTCATGTGAAACGTTGGTACTTTCAACACAGCGCCATCTGTTAGAATTGTGACTGTCAAATAATAAAAAAATAATTTGCAATAAAATAATATTGCTGGTATAAATTAAGATGAAAGCCGATCCTATCTTTTAAGTTAGATCAAACTGCACATGGTGTGCAAATTTGATTGAAATCGGTTAAGTAGTTTAGGAGTCTATAGCGGACAAACAAAGTGACGCGTAATTTATTTATATTTACTATATTATGATATTGGAGATACTTTTAAAGACAGTTTTTTTAATGTTAAAAATCTACTAACATTTAGCACGAATCACAGTATGCATTATACACATTTAATTGAACTTACCATAGAATGCCCAAGATACTCTGCAGCATTATCCGATATATACAGAAGTTTCCCGTTCTGCGTCATCATCATGAGAAAACCGTTGAGAGCCTGTCGACAAAATATATCAATTTATAAACTGGTTGCATGCGTGAGTCATCGTACTATTGTATCTTAAATCTATTGGTACGAAAACGTAAGTCATACTATCTCGTACCACTATATCAAGATATATAGACGGATGTACTGTAGACATTATAAATAAATTTTATCTTCTTGTATTCTGTAGTACATAGTTTTTTCTCCCTGCTTCCATAATACCCTATTAATATTTAATGTCAATATTATTTATATATTTGTTTTCTGGATTACTTGTTAAAGAACCGCTTCTCATTTTTATTTATATATATATAATTCTACAGTACATATTTAACTTATATAACTTAAAATATACCGTTTATAAATACAATAAAGAATTCATATATTAATGACAGAACTGAGAATCTATTAACCAGTTTATCATTCTGTATGAATGGGCTCAAGAGCTTAAGCTTAGTGAACTAGAAATATCAGTTTAGTGCAACCATTGAAGCTGTATTATGGTAATGTATATATTATGACCTAATCTCAACACGGATATAATAAAGGTTAAGCATTGTCAAAGTTGAAAGCGTGAACCTGAAACCACTAGTGTGTAAAGGCCGATTGACATTATCTTAGTGTTTAGGAGAGTGCTTTAGGATAGTACTTTAGTTGAAACATGTAAACGCTACTTGCTTTAGTACGGTTCTACTTGACTTTCAAGTTGAAACTTGCTGCTCGCGTTCATTGTGGCGCTGTAATGATACTCTACTGGAAGAAATGTAAACGTTCACTCGCAACGCACTAAAGCACTAAAAAACTTGTCTTTCAACTTGTACTAAAATACTCTCCTAAACACTAAGATAATGTAAATCGGCCCTAAGGAAATAATACTGTCTTATCTTGTTTTAAATATTTTTATCTTCAATAAAACTCTATCCAATTCTGGCGCTAAATAAATTGCATCATCAGCACACCCCACTTACACACCATCACACAACACAGCCGAATTAGGTATTACTTATTTAATAATTGGTTTTTATTTTTTCCTTTCTTAACCTGTTGAACCTTATTACGTATGTATTTCATCTTTTATTTTTTTTATTTATTATAAAGAGTACGAAATAAATAAATAGGTCAATATGATTTCTTGCATTGCTTCCTCTAGTAAAGATTAATAATCGTAACCAAAAATCACATATTTACGCATATAGAACATTTTTATTAGAGATTGACTGTGACTTATAATTTTTTACATTATAAATAAGGACATCATTTTAGCTCTCTGTTAACAATTGCACTGTTTTACTAAGCGAGTTTTTGTATAAAAAATACTAATCTTAATTAGCATGTTATGTTCAAGTACCTACTAGGACTGGAGAATTAAAACTCTCAGTTAAGCGTTCTAAGCCCTGAAGTCAAACGTTTGGAACCCGTCTGTTCCTGTAGATTTTCTTTCTACGAGTATATGTATAGTAAATAACTAATTCATACGGCGAAGGAAGTACAAGGCTCTTGACAAAATGATCAAAAATTAGACGCAGAAAAGTAATTAGTACCCTTGGCCTTATGCCTGGACACCAAATAATATATAAACAAAAAATTATGTATATTATAGCTTTATATTGTCTATGCGCAAGTTAACAGAAAGGGCATAGTTTCGTAACTGTGCGTTAGATCTTTACAACTAACACCCACCGGTATGAAACACCGTTTAATTTATTATTTATTCCAATTTAACAAGAACTAGATTCACGGTGATATTCAATTGTAAACGGTTGGATTTCCTGCATTTAGTCCCTAATAAACATTTCGTAATTTACTAGAGTGATTTGTTGATATTTGAAACATAAAAGAAGCAATTGAGACGCTTAATATAATAAAGATTGGTCAAAATAAAAGTCTCTGAGAATATAGTTCGTTGCCCGGATGGCAAAGATAGTTCAACCTACTTAGAAACATGGTCTAGACATGTTAATTAATAATAATTATACGTTTGCATCTATTTAAGACTTAATTAGCTTTATATAACAGATTAAATGTGAACGAAATTTAAATCCCAATTCATTTAAAATAAGCCTTAATATACATATCTAAGTCCTTTTAGGCACGTTTCTTCGCGTCTAGTGAGTAATCCTAGAATTATACTAGATTTCTACAAATCTAAAACTGTATTTTACATTTTTACCTATCGGTTCTATTAATGATTTTCATTAAAATATATTCTTTTTTTTAAAACACAAAATTAAACTGAAGTTAATAACAGGTTGTCAGAAACCACGCCTGTTTAATGTGTAGTTTACTTAAATCGAAATAACTTTCATTTGTCTCTTTCTGTTTTATGAGCTCTATACTATGAAGAAAGTGACAGAAGATAATTATTAATTTGTTGCATTGTGGCGTGGGAAACGAAACTGTAAGAAGCTGCATGCAACAAGATAATGTTTTTATAATTCCTTTGTTGAAATTATTTATGTACTATTTCTATAAAGACTAGTAGTGTAAGGTTGACTTTACATCTTAAGTATCTTTATACATTCTAGTGTGCGTAAATATATTAAAGCAGAAAATAACTAAATAAAACCATACCTATACGTATAGCCGAGATATTAAGTACTGAGTAAAATTTCATACATATAACTATTTCGGCAGTATCTTACCTTTGAGAAGCCAAAATTTTGTCCAGTACTTGGTTGTTGCGTGATGTCGAAGCGTTTGAAAACTGTAACAAAAGTTTTTTTTTACTTTAATAGTATGCCTCCCAATTTGTTCTTTTTTGTGTAAATATTTCTAAATGTAATGAATGACATTTAATTTAGGAGCAAAATTGTTGTTAAAAAGAGCAAAAATGTTAACTACAACTAACTAGTTAAATGGTAACTAATGTAGTTCAGCTTATAAATAATCACCGTTTATTTTTTTAATTAATTTCTTATATTTTTTTATAAACTTTATAATTTAAATCTCCTGACTTTATAGAAACACTAGATCACAATTCTTTGGTCGCAACTTTTTAAATAGTATAATTGCTTTGGCTAATTCTCCGACTATATTGTCGTTTCCGGCTTTTAATTGTATGTTTTTGGTAATATAAAAGAGATTCCATATTTTGGAAGTTCTAATGTCTCCACCACCAAAAATAAAAGTTAGACGTTATGTGTAACTGTTAAACGCCATAGCTCCACTTTAGTTAAGGATACTTAAAATAGAGTATTTAAATCTTATATAAGACATCAAGAAACCATTGGGAATAATAAATGTTTATATCAAAGACAACCGTATACCTTGAATTCCACAGACTAAGTCATCCAACTCATTAGAGCCTTCATTTTACAGTTGAATAGAAAGTACAAGCCGAGAAACATATGTATTGTCATTTAGATTACACACATATTCCGTTCATAAAACAGTTAATAGTAAGATAATGTTCTTCGGTTTATGAAAATGGTAGCATTAGAAATGCGAACACGAGCATTGATAATTCGATAGGATTTGGTTATTGTTTCATTGCGATTTAGAATTGTACATGATGATAAAAATCACTCAAACTCAATAGAAGATATAAACACTGACTCGGAACTCACTGATTACAAAGGGTTTTCTGACATTTTATTTGAAAAATGTAATAATATTCCTTAACTTTTCCTTTTTTTATTTTAACTGAGAACTGACTTTCAAAAGTCTGATTTGTGTCGTTCATCGTAAGTTTATTAATAATAAATAGAAACAAGAAAAAAAATCCTTCCGGTAAAAGTGAAATTAATTATGACTTGTATTCCCCGATTTGACCTCTACTTTGTTTGTACGTGTCAGTGGGCTTACAAAAATCAGCGTCCATACTCTGTAATTTCGACGGCGATACCGATCCCGACGTTTCTAAGTTGTAGTAGTTCTCTCCATGTAGCTGTGATGTCACAACTTTAGAATAGCGTAACAAAAACTCATTATTGGGATCCAAATCGCTATTTAAAGTTACAGAGTAAGAGTGAGACCATGACGACTATTACCTACCAAGATTATTTCTTTAAAAATCCTGGTCGGTTTTATTTTTTGTATTATATATATACAAAAAAAAAAACAAAAATTATGTTGTTTCGGTCTTCCGCTGAAGAGTGCTGTGGTTATCCCTAGCTTCCAGGGCTAAGGCGTACTCATCCAATTTGGCGTGGACATCCGGGCCGATACATCAGAATTTATATCAACGGGAGCACACGGGATTTAACAGTGGTATTGTTAAATAATATATTTCAAATTTTAAACAGTGTATTTACTAGTATTTCTAGGTCTCCTATAGCAGAATTGAAAACAATAAATGTCCTAAAGCGATTGTATTTATAAGACAAGAAAGTAAAGATAACATTCTCCGTAAGGAAATCTTATCATCATCAGTCAACACATAAATTAACTATATATAATACTTTCAGACCATAAATAATATATGGAGTTGATTACTGATAAGCAAAAGCTAACAATCGACAATTTGAGGTGGCCCAATTTATTGTTTATTCTGTTACTTTTGTAAAACGTATTTTAAGTTATACTGCATGCAATACTTTGATTTTCGGCAACCATTTTGAGTTAGTTGTTTTAATTACGAAAGAAAATGAGTTATTGTAGCTAAACTATTCATGCCTATTGAGAATGCAAAAGTGATCATGAAGGCTTTAATGTCCTTGTTCTGAGGTGGTTTGACAGAATATAGCTATTAAAAACATCTTTTTGTTCATGGGAATGCTTGCTTGGAATTCGTAAGCACTACCTATTAAACCGAAACTCACATACACTAATAAATAATAATTAATAAATAATTGATACCAACAAATTGCTAAATTCCACGCAAATACTTTTTTTCCACAAACATTTATTACCCTTATCATACCTGTATAACCCTTATATTACTTATGATTCCAGATCGTTACAATTCTCATATGGAGTTTATTTAAAGTGATATAATATTTTTATATCCGGCTCATTCTGATGTTAAAATTACGAAATTACCAATGTTGCATTTAGTTAAAAAAAATACCTAGTACTTTAGAATGCGGATCCGAAATTATTGTGGTTTGTATTCAACCTTCGATTATAATAATAATTATATAGCTACTATGAATGGTATAATAATCTTCTATATTGGTAGTGCTATACCGGTTACACAATGATTTTTATTTTATATCCGTTAAAAATTTTCCTAAATCTCCCAAATTTAAATTTCGAATGCATAGAGAATGTTCTATTCCTAATTTAAATATACACAGATGCAATGTGCTGATTTTTAACTTCACAACGTGCTTACTACCATTTGACAGCAAAATTTGTCATTGTTAAAAAAATCGATGTCACTGCACTTACGAGCCGTTCATAATCGATTCATATCGATACTTTCTCAAGCTAACAACGATAAACAATAAGCTGAGCCCGATTACATCGATAAGATATCGAATAATTCCAGACTCTAATGGGCCTACATAAGGGGATTTACACTTTCTAAAAGGGTTTTCTAAGGATGGATTAGAATATTGATAAGCTTAGCGTTTGCTAAGATCTAGTTGCTAGGTAACTGCAATCTACGGTTTGCAAATGTATTCTGATGATTACTCAATGGGCGTGTTCGGCCGAAGTAAGTACTTACTAAACTTAGTAAGCCAGTAAGCATAAAAAAATTAAAGTCTTACAAGCTGACTGTAGCGCTTTTCGGCCAGGACAGACTTACTGGCTTATTAACATAACACAAAACACCGGTTTATGTCATATCCCGTACATAACCTCATAGACTGAATATAATTGACAGTACTAAATTTAGGAATATAATTTAATACCTGTGAATAGTTTCAAATGGATAATTTTATGAGAAATATTTTATTGGATATTTTATTGTCCGTTTTGTTTACATCAACAATAAGCAAAATGGCGTCGTATATTAAGCCATACTTACTGCGTTAGCACTTATTTTGTGTCCCGGCCGAAAATTTTGTAAGCATAGTAAGTGACTTACTAAATTTAGTAAGTACTTACTTCGGCCGAACACGCCCAATGATAATGGGTTGATAATTCTGATTCGATTTACGAATTGAGTAATCAAATTACCGTCAAATGCTTTACTTACAATCCTGAACTATCATTGAGTATGACCGATATAAAAGGCCGGGGCCCTCTAGCATTGAGAGTGTTTATGGGCGGCGGTATCACTTAACATCAGGTATCACTAATCATCACCCGTTATAAAAAAAAGTGATAATGATGGCAAAAGTATGAAAAATAGTCCATTACTTACAAAGAAAATGCTGAGCATTTTATCTATTTCCCGTATTTAATAGTAGTGTTTAAATACACATTTAACACATTCGCTCTTTAAAATAAATGTTATGCCGGCATTGATATTAATTAATTACTTAATTCATCGACACATCTACGTGTTTTGCGAATGCCAGTATTCCTTTTAGTCTGAACAACTGAACAAATGAATCCTTAATACAAATATAATAGCTGACTCGTCCCTACGATTACTCAAAGTCTGTATAAATCGCCTCACGAATTGTAACTGATTCTAATGTTAGAACATTAGTTTTGACGCTCTCACGCGGTTTCATAAATTGACATATGAACGTGCACAATTAAATATCAAGCTCTATATGTCTACTGTGTCTATTGTCTATGTACTATGTCTGGATGATTAAGTATGGGATATATTCCAGAGGAAAAGGACATCTTTGATATGTGTATTTCGCCTAAGAAATTATAAATCTCAAGTGGATATTTAAATTATTATACACTACAATGGCGTAAAAAAATATAGGCCGAATTATTAACCTCCAAAACAGTTTTTTTTAAAGTCTGTTAAAAATGGAGGTGGCCTGTCAAAAACTTGCATCAAATAGAGAGTCAGCCACAGTCTCCATACCATGTAAAAATATAAAATACTTATGTGAATAAATAACAGATAAGAATTAGAAAGAAAAACATTTTAAGGGTTTTCCTGACACTATATTAAACACCGTCGTAATGTATTTAATATGTATCTGAAACTAGATATTGCGCGAGTAAAAAAGTGAGAAAGAAAAAAGAGAAAGATCTAACCCTCAGATTCGAGACTTGATACTATTTCGACTTGATACGAGACTAAATATGAACAATAAAATATTGGATTTTGACATACGGCTACCATTTGCTCTACATCACAACAAAAAGCGAATTTTGTTTTATGCTTATCACTCTGTTGATTAATAGAAATCATAAAATAACTGTTGATATACAAAAACCTAAATGTCTATTAATAACACACATATTTAATTGTTACTACAATTAATTAGGACTCGCGGGCGATCGTTTTGAAACGCATTCGAGTAATGTTAATCAATTCTAAGTACCACTCATCTATTAGCATGCCGTTGAAATAACGATGACTAGGGATGGCCTGTTATCTGGATACTTAGCTGTGATTTTGTAAGGTACACATTTAAGTAACAATTTGTTGTAATTGATTGAAATATTTAACTATATTCAATATTAAATAATACTAGGATGTCAGTTTCATACTCAAGAGCAACGCTACCGTGAGGTATCTATCGGTTGCCCAATATTAGTAAGTAAGTTGTTTGCGTCTGATTTAGTCAATCAACTGTAACCAAAAATTATCAAGAGATATTTTAATAGCAAACATTCTTCAATTTACTGATAAGAATATCACTGCTATTTAAGAACAGGGCACAGTGACATACCGTTCTAAAATAGCAGTGATGGTCCAGCACTAATCAATATATCTCCAGGACGATATATGATGAGTTTTATGAGCAGCTTGATAGTTTGCTATAAACATTATTTAATGCAATTAGTGCAGCGTATTTTAAGGAGACAGATTTACATTTAATGCTTGTGTTGTTACGTCAAGAATTGAAATTATTGATTGAATTTCATAACTGTTTATATGAATTGGTTTTATAAGGTACCTTAAAATGATTATTAATTTAAATTCCAGGAGAAGTTTTTTCTTCAACGAAAATCTGAATTTTCTTATGAGGGCGCGCTTTACTTTGCTTTACGTGACTTATTATTGCGGTTAAGTTGTATACTCAAGAGGTCGGCGACGGGCTCGTGACGCTTATGGTGCTTCTATTGGGTGACCCATCAGCCGATTCGCAACCATATTGTATGTAATATAAAATATAATGTGTCATTTTGTGACGTATATCCGACAATGCGCCCGTGATGCTTCAGCTATCACTTGGGTGTCCCATGTGCTCATTTGAAATCATGTAATGGAAAAATGTATGTGTTTTTAATTCAATATTAAAGAAAAAGTCAGAGCAACTTACCTTTCCCTTTACATAGCACGAAAGAAACCTTGTCCTGTTTAGCGTAAAAACTAGTACCTTCAGTTTGACCTTACGTTTTCACAAATTCTATTTTTGAATTATCAATAATCACATACTGACGTCACAATCCTCACGCCACTTAATTGCCTCAAAAACCGGTGCTGTGAGGCGTCCAACGATCGACGGTGGGCGAACAAGCGGACAGATTGTCCAGATACATAACATTACTGGACTAACGAACATCTCAATTTAGCTAGCCACCTGCCTTGTTCGATAAATCCATTTCCATTCTGAAGCTGAATAGCTGGCATTCTTCAATGAAACAAACCGAATGAATGTTAAGCGCAACGCCAAACGAATCGAGTTAGTACAGTGATGACACAGTAACTTA